GTGGTAGCCTGGCGGTGGGTCTTCCTGCAAGTGCTGGACAAGCTCACTGTGATAACGATTCATGACTTCATACGAACAAGCGCCGACTAAATCGAAGGCCAAGGCGCGACGCCTAAGCGCCTGCACCAATTCGAGCTCGGTCTTGGCGCTGCATGTATGGTCTGCAGACTTGTCTTTGATGATGAGTGAGTTCTGGTCGATTGAGAGTTCTTTCGGAGGCTTCTTCTGAAGAAGCTCTGTCTTTCGGGTGTAGAACTTTTCAGGGCCGAGGTAAACAAGCGTGTCCTTGTCCAGCAAGTTGAGGACAAGGTCGTAACAAGCGTGAGCAACTTCTTCATCACCTCTGAGCAAGAGACCCTGCAGGCGCTTGCGTTGAGCTTCGATCCGAGTGTCTCGCTCAGCCGGAGCGAGAGTGGCAAGGACTGAGGTCTCTTCTTTTCTCGCCACCTTTGTTTTCATCTCCTGAGCAACCATAGTCTGAGCCTCAAATATCAACCTCTTCATGCTGGCCAGGGTCTCCATGTTGGTGGTGACATGTGGCAAAAAGAGGTTCCGGATCTGTTCGTCCGAGGCGGTCTGCCCTGGCCCAGCAGCCGCGAAGGCGAGTTGAGCGAGAGAAACAACTCCGTTGGCTACAAGTGCGGTCACCTCGGCTTCTGTGAGATGAACCTCCAATGCTCTCTTCTTCAGTGCCTCAGTCGAATCCAACAACGTACTCATGGCTGCAAACCCAAGGCTGACCTCAGAGCCGAAAAACTAAGGTTTGCCAGGCGCTAAAGTGTTGAGGTGCTTCAAAAATTAAGGAAAACAAACAAAATGGCGAGAGTGCAGACTCAAGCACACTTTTGTACTCTGTGCCTCCCTGAGCGAGTTATGCTCAGGAAGTGCGCTGTTTCTTTAAAAAGCTGGCAAAAGCACCCAAGTCACGAACTGGCTTGCAAGTACGGCACCTGAGGCACAACCGGACTTTGGTCAAAGCGGTCTCTGCGACCTCTAGAAAAGCATCTGACTCTTTCAGTCCACACACGAAGAGTGGTTTGGTTGAGCCAACAGTCTTCTTGCGCGCAACTCGAGATCGGCGGTGTTGAAAGAAAAGGAAATCGGGATCAGCCGGGGCGTGCGGGGTCAAGGATGTCTCATCAAGCGTGTCCTGGTTCTCAAGGTCATCTTCGTTCTCTGAGGAGGAAGCTGAGTCTGAGCTGGAGTTGTCGTGGCTCGATGTTTCTTCTGCAGGTTCTTCTACCTCTGCCAAGTCTGTACTTCTTCTGAATTCTGTGGCAGCGTCTGCAGCGGTTGGTTCCTGAAGATGTCCTGATCGAGTGGCATCTGGTGCGAAAGCATTAGTGCGGATGTTCTTCAGCATGGTGTCGAAGGCTCGATCTCGGCTGTAGGTGTCTACACTTTTTGACCCTGTCGAATGATGCCCCAGCACCTGACGAACGGTTTTGTCCATTCCATATTTAGAGCACCACGACAGCGTGGTGGCCTTTAAGGAATGGCTGGAAACCAGTTGTTCTGGATCTTGGGTTTCAAGGATGGCATTAAGCCAGCAACTGGCCTCTTTGGATCCCGTGCTGCGAGAGCTGAAGGTGTGATCCTTGTTTGGTGCTGGGAGCAAAGGCCCGAAGAATTGCTCATGGAAATCCATGTGAGTTTCTTTCGCCGCCTCAACGAAATCTAGGGCCCATGGACGTTCGCCAACTCCCCATATTGGTGCAACCAAGGGCTTGGCTAAACCACGTCGGGCGACGAGACGCGCAGTCTTGTGTGAACGAGTCCGGAACTCAATGTATCCAAGCACCGTCTGCGCTTGATCCAACACATCTAGTTGGTACGCATAAATCTTCTTGGTGTCACTCCAGCGGCAGCGTGCGAACAACGCAAATAAGAAGGCGCCTGCAGCATACCTGTCAACAGCACTGTTGCTTGTGTCCTGCAAATAGCTTTCAAGCTGCTTTACCTCAAGCACCGTCAATGGTCTTGCTTGCTTCACCTCATCCCGATTGGCTAAAGCCCTATCGGCTAAAGCTCGACTGCGGCAGCTGATAACCGTGTTTACGCCCTCTGGGGCTGGCATTCCCAAGACGTGGATGCAGAAATTCACTGCTTCCAGGAAAGAAGAGGGTGTCGACGCGGGTGACTCAATGTCTTTCAGGTGTGACATGTATTCTTCGATGTCTTGAGCCTTGAAGGGCAAAGCTTGTGTGAAATAGTGGGTACGACCGTACCATTTTGCGTAAGCAAGGATCGAACCTACCCTTTGGCTGCAGTGGCACAACTCCTCGTCCCCAAAATCTCTCGAATTCTCTCGAGATTGCCCGGGACGTCATCTTCATGTATCACCAGACCACCGGGTCTGGCATCAGTCGAGATCAAGAAAACCTTGTACCACTTTTCTAAGGTCTTCTGCCACCTGACTTCTGCGAGAGCATCATCTGTCATCTCATTAGCATGAAAATCTATGACTCTAAGAAACGAATCCTTGCCTGTGATGAGTACAGGCGGTGCATTCTTCTTTGAGGGCAAAGCTGGGTCCACGTCCCACGAAGTCTGCGCGGGCTCAAAATGAGGAACTGGCAAAGACAACTCGTCTGCATCAGAACCGAAAATCAAGTCCATCCCTGGAAGCTCCCAAGGAAGCTTCTCTGCTATCAAAGGACAGTGCTCAGGACGGCCCCTTGAATGGCGTTTTGCAATGTCGAAAGGTCGGCAGGGACATCTCGTGACCCTTGTGGGCAGTGGTTGTCTGTCTCTGGACCTGGACTAGACGGCTCAAACGGACTGCATGGGTCGTGAGGCTCTTCGCTTACCTCGTCTTTGACCTCGTCAATGTCGTGGGGTAGTGGTCTCCTCATGTCTTCAGAGGCCACTGACCAAGCTTCTTGGTCATCTTCTATCTCTATGGAGCTTGAAAAATTGTCCATTGAGCAGGAAAAAGGTCAGGCTGCAACAACAACGAACGTTTGGTTTCTCGTTTAGAGAGAGAGTGACGTCTCAAGGCATTCCAATATGTCTCAACCAAATCACTCAAAGTCACACGCAAGATCTTGCCAGGCCTATTGATCTTAATGTCGTCGCATTTGCTGGATCGGAAATTCACATGCTAACAAAGTTCACTTAATGAAATTTATTTCATTTAAATCTCACTTTATTCACTTGAAGTGTTCTTTCACGCACTCACCGGCGCGAGGTTCATACAGGCGCGACAGACTTCCTAAGAAGGTGCTGCAAGCCACCTCTGACCCGCACCCTCAGAAAATCAGAAATCCTGTCGCCCGCTCAGTTCCGATCTACCTCACAAGAGAACTCCAGTGGTTGACTTACCGTGCGAGTTGAGGTGAGTTGTTGTTGTTGTTGCTGCTGTTGTTCTTTTCGTGTTAACATACCGATCCTCGTCCGTGCCTGCCTTGCGGGCTCGAGCTTGCAGCTATCACATCGATAGGCTTGAAGTTCAGGTTCACGATTGATCTCCCTCGGTCTGTGACGAAGGCTCGGCTCAAACAGCAGGTCCTGCACCAAACAGGAGTGAAGTCTTCTCATTCTCTCATCATGCACTCCGTCTGTCACATTTCAATTGCGACACTGTCGTGACACCCTACATGGTCTCACTTGAGACATCGAAGAAAAGAAGGCGCGCGCCTCCCGAAATTAATCGATCTGTTCGAAAGAAAAATAAGGGTGGCCTGACGCAAAGAGAGACTTTTAAGACTTCCGAGGGTATGAGACTGAACCCAAAACCTCACTTCAGAAAACATTCAATGAGGCACTTGCCCGTTTGTCGACTCTTCAATCACAACCTGAACAAAGGGTGAATAATCAAACGCGTGCTTCAAATATGCGAATCTTGTACACGACCCTTCACTTGAAGGTTTCCTTCCATGAGGCACTTGCCTGCTCTTCGACTCACCAATAACAGCCTGCGAACAGAATGAACAAAAGCAGGAAAAAGGCTAAGACCCACTCGCAACGTCTATCTTTCAACTTGTCTCGACGGCTCGTTAAAAGCCACTCAAAGGGGCACTCGCCTCAAGGACGTTCTTTTGTGAAATCCCGGCCGTCGAGGCACTTGCCTCTCGAGCCCACGTGGATCCCTGCTTCGAGACAAAACAGCCAGGTGTCACTTGAACCCGACAAGAGTCAAAGAATAAGTGAGGATACTCCAGTGCACAAGTTCACACTGCCTTATTGAAACTCTGTGTTACTCACTCCAAAACACATGATTTCACAAAATATGCAATTTATGAATCACGAACCTGCCGAAACTGCAACACCTATGACGATACAGATCAAGTCTTTAAAAGTTGCAATCTGTGACATTTTCTGCGCCCAACCCGACAAAAAGAAAAAGGCATGATTGCTATTGCAAGCTTTGCGCTGCGGCAAAGCGTCACGACAAATTGCAGTTGGCTCGAAAGGAGTTGGATTCAATCGAAACTGGTTGATTGGTTGCAAGGCACGAGCTGCGTCGGAAGTTTGGGCTAAGAGAACTTCTGGATCAATTGCCATTGCTGCAGCCGTTGCTGTGTAGCACAAAGCGGGCCAGCGCTCAAGAACAAAAACCACTTCTTCCCCAACACCAACGCTTTGACAGTGACTTGCCACAACGTGTATGTCTATGTTTGCGCAGGAGGCGCGAGTGCCATGGAGTCTGCGACCAGCGCGCATGGGCTCCAAAGTCTGCTCAAAGCGGGTGGGCTCTCAACACCAGGAGGTTCTGAGGCCAATAGCTCACGTAATCGATATCCTGCAAGAGCAGCACTGCCAGGTGCATGGCCATCAACCCGCCATAGACGCAGCTCGAAAAAGAGTCGTGAGGGCTCACTTGAGCCCGACTTCACGTGAAGTGTGAGTCTGAGATCAAGTGAAAACGAAACTCATGCAACACTTCGGCAATCCTCCGTTTAGCAAACACTTAGGAAAAATAAAGCACTGTCACGCCACTTCGTTTCATGAGAGTTTACTACTAATCCAGATATGTAAGGCGTATGTAGGTACCCCACCTTCGCCCTTGGAATTGACTGTGTAGGGGAAGGATGGGTTCGATCCACCCCAAATCGAAGAACAGCCAGTGGCATTGGCGATCACCAGGCGCTCTCCGAAGAGCTGGGTCATGAGCTTCACATGCGGTGTCTCGCCGCAACCCTCACATGCTCCACCTGGGAAGTGGCAGCAAACATCTCGAAAAGACATGGATTCTGCTACTTCAAACGATTCATTGGTACGATATCTTGGAACAAACTTCAAACGATTCTTCTCATTGCCAAATGTATTCTTTCCCCAAGCCCAAGACTGAACTCCAGATATGGCTTTTGGAACTGGGACCCCTTCACTGTGGTCTTGTCAATCTCATCACCACGGTCTGGCAAGGTCACTGCAAAGTTCCAGTTCGCTTCCTCCTCCTCAGGGCAGATTCGACTCCAAGCAACTCAACTGCGGAAAGGGTGGGCGGGCCTCGATGACCTTTGCTGCATCGGCCAGCTTGAGTGCGTCAGCGGGACAAATACGCACACACAACTCGCAGCCAGTGCAATCCCAAGGCGAGACCTGCCAACCCAGCAAACGGACCAAAAGGAGTAGCAAGAAGCTACTAGGAACAAAGGGCATCGCCACAAGGAACACGTGCATCGCTATTAGTAGCTAATTTGCTACTAGGAACAAAGGGCATCGCTAAGCTTAAACCTCCACCCGCCCTACCCAAATGCCTGGATACGATACTGGTAGCTGTCCAAAACACCACCTCCGATCGCTGCCCGGCTACCATCCTCACAAAAGGAAAAGCAGTTCTAATTTCAAGCACATCAAGCTCAAGGAGCTCAACAAGCTCTTTTGGACTACTGAACGGGCTGAAAGCCGCTGAAGCAAGTGAATTATTTTCACACCCTTCTCACATCTCTTATCATCTCACACGATCTACGCCTTGAAGTCTTTGGGTGCGGAGTTCAGCTCCATCTGCGTGGCCAGGAAGGGGCGAACCTGAGCGCTTCCGACCAAGCGCAGCCATTCCTAACCCAAACAAGCAGTTGACTCCAAGGAGCAGCTGCATGGGGACAAATCAAGCTGCACTTGTTGCACTGCGTACAGAGATCCATGTCCACCTTGCGTTTGGGCCGTCTTTCGTTTGAGGAGACATGATCCTCTGACCCAGGTCAAAGCAACCATGCAATTCTCACTGCAACATACCGTAACACTCAATGTCACACTCCAGGTATTCTGTGCCTTCGGTACATTGATTGCAATGCCCCGCTTCTCAAACTGGCTGGTGCCCAGAGGCACACGGCCGCCAGGCACAAAAGTGCTGACTGGCAAGGAATTTCCATCCTGACATTGACATGGTGAGCAGAAGTATATACAGTATACATATAAAACATATATACTTCTGACATGTCTGTCTCCCTAGTGTGGCAAAGGCAAAGTACTCCCAAACTCTTGGATGTTGAGTTCTGAGTTCAAGCTACCAAAGAGGAAACGTCTTTTGACAAAAGACCCCCTTCTGGGGAAGGTGAGATTCCGTCATTTCTCTTTTCGGACCAAGGCTCCAGGTTATTGCAAGGCTGCTGCACAGTGTCCGCAAACTGCTTTGGCGCCAAATCAACGATCTTGCGTGGACCCTTGGCCACCTGTGTCGCATCCCCGGCCTCACGCGAGAAGTGAAGAAAAGCCTCTCCAAGCTGGACACGTCACAGCAAGCCTCTCCAGGCACCGTGAGATTGGCCCACTCTGCGGGCACAGGGCACTCAATGATGCCACTCACAGAGGCGTCCACACCATCGATGTTCATCTGTACGACCTTGTCACCTGCAACAAACTTCTTTCCTCAAAGGAAATAAGATATGTCATAAGAACACTTCCTATATAGTTGGTTTGGGTGGCAGATTCAGCATAAAAGCAGTATCTGAGATCATCTGCAAAGCAGTGCGGAAAAAAGAGGCCGTGCCTTTCTTTCCATACATCTTCTTGATGCTCTTCTTCAACATCTCAATGGCCTCCTCGAAGGGCATGACCTGGAGAGTTGCCATGATCTACCCGACTGAAAAGAAACGTCAAACAGCGAGTCGTGTCTGTTTCATTGTTTGGAGTCAAGTAAGTCAAGTGGCTCCACTAAGCTTGAAGAAAACACTCTGCATGATCATATTGATGCGCTTGCCCAAGCCAGCCTGCGCAGAGTTCAAAACCAAAAATACAGTGACAAGAAACTGGAAGCATAGGTCGCATCGGTATGCATCAGTGGCAATCGAATCTACCAAAATGCTTCGGAAATTGTTCAAGAAGGACTGCAAATCTCTTGAGTCTTCAGCAACTTCAGTGGAACTTCAGTGCCTTCACGGCAATCTGAGTGGCATCGATGATATACAGCTTTGCCTTCTTTGATGCCAAGTCCCGGCGCATCTTTGCAGGCAATTTGCTCTCAAGCTCGGACACGCTCCAGGAGCAGTTGATGACGCAAACTCCATTGGGCTTCATGTAGCGAGTCATGTCCTGGGAGATTAAGTTGATGAGATACTATATAGGAGCAGGAAAGCAGGGAAGCAAAAGAGTGCACAAACATCGCGGTTTCTTGTAAGGGGCAGAATGATTCTTCTGCTGGGCATTGGTTTCAACACACGCTTCAATTGCTGCACGGTTTGCAACACCTAAGAAAACAACCAGGTATCGTAGTTGGCCACGTAGCTTGGCTTGTGAATGGCCAAATAGTCTGCTGCACGCACGTTGTACCTCAACCAAGTTAATCAATCAAAAGTCACCTTGTAGAGAACAGCGACCCATGTTGTGTCTTGCCATGGACACTCCCTGTTTCCTTTCGAACCCAGCTGCGGGGCATAGATTGGCTTGGGACCGAAGCGCAAGTGGCTGATGGTCACACCGCCACTTTTCTTGGCATCATATTCGAAGTAGGCCTAGTGAGAAAATGTGCTTAAAGGCGTGTGATTTGCTTAGAGCAGTGATCGTGCTCAGTGATTCTGCCTGAGCATAAAGTTCCGTTCCCATGGCAATCATCTTCACGGCGCTCTTGTTTGCCCCGACAGTCCCATCGCTTCCCAGGCCGTAGAACATGCACTCGGTGGTCCCTTGCGGCAGCACGTTGAGCCATTCGCCCACAGGCAAGGACAAATGAGTGACGTCGTCATTAATGCCAACAGTAAAGCGAGGCTTTGGAGCATCCTTGCAAAGAGAAGACAATTGATTCTCCAAAGGGTCTACTTCAGGAATCATTCAAATTTGAGAGAAAGAGTTGCTTGACATGCCAAACTGCGTCAACTAGCGGTTTGGCTCCTTCTTGAGGTTCTCATAGATAGACAGCACCATATTGGGAGTGAACTCCTTTGATCCCAAACCATAGCGGCCTCCGATGCAAATGATGTCTGGCCTCGACATGAACTGGAACGTCGCAGAGACTTCCAGGAGCAACGGCTCACCTTGTGATCCCTGCTCCTGCACACTGAGCAAACAATCTGGCATGTGCCCTCATTCCCCCTCTCACAGCAAAACAATTCGAGTAAGGTTAGAATCATTGAAGTGTCTTAAAGTTCTTTCAAAGAGTTGCACTGCATGTCCAAAGACTTGGATTAGACACCGACATCCAGTGACATCCGGTCACCCAGTCCTTGGTTCGATCCAAGACGCAAACCCTCTTTGTCGTCTTGGGCAGCGCAGCCATAAATCGAGTTCGATCCCATGGGCGGAAGAGGCGCACCTTTAGTACACCAACCTGCCAGAACACAACGGTCAAACCCATCGGTTTACTCAGTTTACTCTGATGTTTTTTAGTGAAGTTTTCGTACAAAGTGTTCGTACAAGGTTGATGCGTTGCATGACATGCACTCAAGAAGCACCATGTAATACGGCCATACATACCAATAGATACGAGATGTCCGCGAAACGCCTTCTCGCAGCGAAGGAAGACATGCAAAAACATGGCGCATTATGGTTGATGGCCTTCTCTCCCTTTTCCTGAAGGTACTTGGCCGTCTCGCTGCAGGTCACAGCCCCGCTGCCCATGACCACAATCACATACTCCGCCTCTGCATGGCCTTCATATGCATAGAGGGCATAGTGCACCCCAGTCTTCTGCTCCACAAGCCTCTGCAAGGAAGAGCAACAACTAGAAACAACGACGAATACAATAGGGTGCGATGACTTTGACAAGGGATCAAAACATATCAGAAATGCCCTTTACCCAGCATCAAAAGAAATGCAAAAACAAATCTTCACCTTGACTTCGCTTCGAAGAGGTCGGCCAAATTGTCGTAGAACACATTGCCTGCCTGTCGAAGAGGTCGGTCAGATCACTGGAGTTCGTGAGCATTGGTGTCAAAGCAAACAACGGCATCAACAGAAAGGGAAACATTGAGAACCTCATACGAAAAACTACTCCGACTCCCTGACCTCCACGCATTGGAAGAAAATGTCTGGTCCTTGTGATGTACCTTGTACATGTGGATGTCGAGGGTTCATGGCGAGGTCATGATGTTCTTTGACAGCATCCCAATTGATGAACCTGTGCAAATCAAAATCTCCAGGCAAGATTCAAGATACCATCAAATTCCACTGTTCACAACAGCTACAAGTTCAGAATCCAAGAAACTGTTTCATGCTGTTGTAGTCGATGAGCCGCACCTTATTCACCTCCCACAGCCAACAAATCAACAGAGAAAAAACACACCATGTAGGAAACATGGCAATCCCACCTCGTGGCTCGTCCTGAAGCCGTCGAAGAAGTGTTGGACAGGAACACGCCGTTCCATCGAGACCAAGTGTGCTACTAGCGCATTGTACTGCACCATCTCCACAGATTCCGAAGCCAGCATGCACCTGCAACATTGCAAAACGAAACAAAGGGACCAAACAACTGTCTAGTCTACTGAAACAGAACTTCGACACATCAAGCAAATCCATCTGTCCGGCCAAGAAACCACCCTGTCGAACGACAGGCCATCACATCGCTGTGATCCCCAAAAATCGACAGTGCTTGCCCGGCGAGTGCTCGGGCAGCAACATGCATCACCTGAGAGAGGCGAGGGAATAGCGAGCCAGGACAACTAAATAAGAACAACCTAGAAGCAATGGCCTCCCACCTCCTAGCGATGGCCTCCAACCTATTAGCGATGGCCTCCAACCTATTAGCAATGGCCTCCAACCCAATAGCAATCCCCTCCAACCTAGTAGCGATGGCCTCCAACCTGATAGCTATGGCCTCTAACCTAATAGCAATGGCCTCCAACCTAATAGCAGTGGCCTCCAACCTATTAACGATGGCCTCCAACCTGATAGCAATGGCCTCCAACCTAATAGCAGTGGCCTCCAACCTAATAGCAGTGGCCTCCAACCTAATAGCAATGGCCTCTAGCCTAATAGCAATGGCCTCCAACCAAATAGCAATCCCCTCCAACCTAACCGCGATGGCCTCCAACCTAATAGCGATGGCCTCCAACCTAGTAGCAATGGCCTCCAACCTAATAGCGATGGCCTCCAACCTAATAGCGATGGCCTCCAACCTAATAGCGATGGCCTCCAACCTAATAGCAATAGCAATGGCCTCCAACCTAATAGCAAAAATTGCACTGGTTCAACTGCGGACCAGAACTATACTGAATGATCAGCAGGATCGAGAAGGATTCTCATTGCACATGATCCACAGGCTGTTACTGTTGTTTATCTGCTTCTGAGCTCTGGGCACAGGGGAGCAACTCACCAGCAATCTTATACATGTTGGGGATCATCAAGAGCAATCCCTGACCTTACACGTCCAAGAAACGTGCAAAGGAAACAATACACACTAACACTAGCAACATGGTGACAAAGTGTATCTTCTTTTGACAACATATTAAACGAAATGATTGTATCTAAACAAAACATATGGACAACATTGGGAATCTGCAACCATCTCCAAAACATTACGCTGGCTCGTGCTGGCTCGTCACTCGCTGTGAAAGTGGTGGAAAAGGCGCCGGCCTTCAACGCTCCATGCAAGGCTCCAGCAGCACCCGCTTCGCTTTGCATCTCTGTCACACTCAGCTTTTGTCCGTAGCAGTTGAGGAGTCCTGACCACCAAAGACACACCAATTGAAGCAAGAATTCCGGGTGTTATTAAGTAATTGTCATCAAACACAGTTCCCATTACTGTATGTCATATACATTGACTCAAATCGGTGAGATGGTCCTTGGGCAGACCATTCATCCACCATCTCTCCCATGGGTGATGATGGAGTGATAGGGTAAATGAAGGCACAGTCGCTGAGGGCGTAGGCCACATGCGCTGCTGCCTGGTTGCCGTCGATGCAGGCGATGGAACCTTCCGTTGCTTGGATCACGTCAGTGTCAGCACACCTGAAACACAACCAGAGTTTTACATGAAGAAAACCAAAAGCATCCCTGGGGCTCAAGAGCTTTAGTTTTGCTGACATAGCACTGATGGACAAGGGTCTTGTTCTCCGCTTGAAACATCGCTCTCTGCACCTTGGTTGAAGATTTTGATGCATAAATTTGGTGTTGACACGAACTGAACAATCACACACTCAGGATCCAAACTTTTTGGTTGTTTGTCAGGTGTGCCATGTGCCAATATCAGAGTTGTTGCTGCATACTGTAGTACAAAATCTGCCAAGCCCAACACCTCTTTCACTTTCAGAAACTGTTCATATTCTACATCTGCTGCCCCACTGCCAGCACCCAAGGCAGAGAGACGTTCAGGATCTTCGGACTGCCTTCCCTGCACAACATCTGCACATCAGTTTCGTGCTATTCAAGCACAATTGCGCCTCCTCCGGCCGTAAACCACCGTAGGGTCCAAAGGGAGTCGTCCTAAAATGGAGCATTTGGCACCCAAAAATTGGAACAAATCATAAGAGCCAACTCAACATGTTCACAATGTCAATTTGAGGAAGTGGCTGGCCACGGATTGCCATTCCCAAGCTGGTGTGAAGACAAATTCAAAGCACGTACTTGGTCGGGTCAACTTCAAAAGCTGAGCCAAAACAGCGGAAAATGTGAGCCATCATCCATGTTCCCTGCACAATCTTTTGGAGTGAAACAAGAAAACATTGTGACAACGCTGTCAATTAATCAGTCCGCCATCAAAGTTGTGATGTTGGCAGAAAAAAACACCTCGGAGACAGCCTGTTGTTCTTCGAGAATGGTTCGATGTGGGTAACCCTTTTTGGCACACCAAGAGCCTTCATACTATTCAACAATGTGTTATTTTGTTTATTCGGTTTGTATTTTGGAGTCCAGGCCTGGCACCAAAACAAAACTGTCAGAATCATAACCAGACCTGGTAGTGCAGAATCTCCAATTCCGTGACATTTGGATTGCTAACGGACTCTGGTTTAAAAACGAATTTAAACTCGCTTGGCACGAGGTTTCAGCGAGACCTGAATCTGTGAAAGCAAGATGAAACTCTGTCCTAGGAAAAAGGATCCGCCACAAAAAATTGTAGGTCGCTCAATGAAACAGTCGGGTAAGCGGAATTCTGGTGTATTTTTCACACATTTTGTGGCAATAGATTTTTGCCCGCATTGCAGTCATGGCAACTGAATTTTGATGTAGCAATCCATACTCAAACAACAGGATTTCGTTTGTTTGTTGTGGTTGAAGCCTTGGTGGGTGGCAGAACAACATGACAAAACATGATGATAGAGTGCAAAATTGGTGCGTTTTTCCGACATGACACATGCAAAAGCTCAATTTGTAGTTTGGAGATCCAAGATTTTGCTGAAACTGAATGTCAAGTCGCAACCGTCCCTGCATGCTCATCAGACTGTGTTAAACAGGAATAAACAAACCAAAAACCGACAAACCCACACGCAAAAAACATCCGAACATCAAATCTTTCTCCGCCCAATTCCACGCGTCCAGGAAAAATTTTAAGCAGCGTGGTCCGACCATGATCAATGCTCCAATCTCCACAGCTCGATCAAACAAACTCGCAGAGTTGACTCACTTGAAGCAGCCTGGGGGTCACAGAGCGCCACAATTGTACAAAATTGGAGGCTCATGGGAAGCAATCCGTGCTTGTAACTCCACAGCACAGCTTCGCCAAACCAAGTTCGCCATGGGATGCAAGCCCCATATCCCCCCCAAAAAGAACAACTGTCTTTTGGCTGCCAGTCATCGCAAACAATGCGAAGGTCAGCTGGAGTGGAATTGAACAAATGCAAAAAAAAACAAACCCAAAAAACAAACCCCCAACCCCCAACAAATGCAAACTGCAACCCAAAACAGCGAACAAAAAACCGAAACAAAAACGCAGCGCGGGTCAAACTGGAAAATTTCACAGACATCTTGAAGGCTCATTCTCCAGCACTGGACTGTGGCAGCTCGAAGGACATGCATGGTTTCGGTCGAAAGCCCACTGGTGCCCGGAGGCAGGGTGGTTCCGGCGGGAAGGGACCGGACGAAACGATCCGAAGTCGATCGAAAACCGAAAACGTCAGGCGCCATCTAAACGCACTTTAAACATGGCAAAGAACGCACCCTCCCACCGAAGAAAGCGAAGAGTCCAGTTGGGCAGAGAGGACGTCCCTTTGCCTGTGAATATTGAAAGCCCCTTGGATTTCCGAGAGTCAGGGATGACATCACCTGAAACTTGATTGAGTGGATGCAAGCAGCTCTACAACCAACATTTGGACAACGCCACTTCCACGCTTTGGCTTCTCACACGGAACCATCACAGGCTGTCAGACCAGCCGTGCCCGTCCCCCAATTGCCACTTCCAATCATCGCGCATGTCCACGCGGCTTCAAAAAAGTTGCGTGCGAAAATAACACGCCCGCAACTGGGGAGGCCCTCCGTGGCGAGACCGGCTTTGCTAGTGTTTTTGGGCCCCAAAATGAAGGCCACAGAAAATGCATTTTATCTTTGGACACTTCAATGGCCAAGCCCTCGCCCAAGCCTTTGCTAAGAATGGTTGAGCGCGAAGAATACTTGGAATGCCTTGGCACAAGTGTGGAGCGCCCCGTTTGAAGAAGCGCTGGGACTACAATGTTCAGGTTCCGTTTCGTGGGTTTCTGTTGGTCTTTGTGCTTTCTTGGAAGTTCTTCACTCCGACCCAATTAAAACTTTGTAAAGCGCAAACGGGGTGTCGGTACCGCGCGTTGTAATGGAGGGCCCGAGCGGTACTGAAGCGGCGCCGCGCATTGTAACAAAGAGCCCGAGCCGTACTGAAATGGTACCGAGACGGTACCGCGCACTGTAATAAATTGTCCGACCCAACCCAGAGCTTGATTGTAGCCGCAAAAACCCTATATAGCGCGTTGCAAGGGAAAATTCAAACGTTGATGCTTAAGATGGAACCGGGACCCGGGCGGCAGCCTGGCGTAGCCTGCTACAAACACCAAGGACGTGAGCACAAACCTCAACTGAAATGAAACAAGGATTCCTTGCCATATTGAACGACCAGAGATGGCTCCTGAACACTGGCCTATGAACATACGCAAAAATGACAGGCTCCACGGCTCCTTGGCGCGCAACATCTCCCCACTCTTCTTCCCTCTCATCCAAAACTAAGGCAGACCAAAAAATACGAAGACTCAAGGCGCTAGGTCGACTTACGGCGGATGTCCACCAGAAGCACCGCAGCAAACAAACGTGCACCAAGCGTGCAAGGCCGCAATCAGACTGCTGAAAAGCAGCTGACCATTGATCTGTGAGCTTGATTGTTTTCGATCAAGAACATCATACACGGCAAACGCTTTCTCCCCAGCAATTCTCAAATCACACTGGTTTTCCAAACTGTTTGCTCCTTGAAGGGATGGAAAGAAGTGATTTTTCTGGACACCAGTTTGGGGTCCAAAAACCCCAGCAAAAACCGGTCTCGCCACGGAAGGCCTCCCAGTTCAAGACCATGTGTGGACATGAATGTTCGCAGGGTGTGGAACATGCTCGCGGCGCTGGAAAACCATGGAAACCAAGCGGTATGGAAAACTTATGTCGCGTACCTGCAGTAACGATCAAAACTTGCTATTTTGCAAAATTTTGCCGACAAACGGCCCCCGTTTTCTGCTCACATCCTTGGTGTTTGTTGCAGGCTGCGCCAGATTGCCGGCGGGTCCCGGTTCCATCTTACGCATCAACGTTTCGAACATTCCCTTGCAACGTGCTACCCTCCATTACAATGCGCGGTACCGCCTCGGACCGCTTCGGGTCCTCTGTTACAATGCGCGGCGCCGCCTCGGCGCGGCTTCGGTCTCGGGCCCTCCATTACAATGCGCGGCGCCGACACCCCATTTGCGCTTTACAAAGTTTTGATTGGGTGGACGTGAAGAACTTCAAAAACACAAAGACCAACAGAAAGCCACGAAACGCAACCTTAACATTGTGGTCCCGGCGCTTCTTCAAACTGGGCGCTCCACACTTGCGCCAAGGCATTCCAAGTGTTCTTTGCGCTCAACACTCTTGACAAAGGCTTGGGTTTGGCCATTGGTGTGTCCAAAGATAAATTGCATTTTCCGGATGAATTTGTGGCCTTCTTTTTTCGGGGGTCCAAAAACCCTAACAAAACCGGTCTCGCCACGGAGCGTGGACAATGTTTGCAGGGTGGAGAACAAGTGCTCGCGGCGCTGCAAAACCATGGAACACCCATCAGCATGCAAAAACTCGCCTGTCGGCGGACACAATCGAAACTTGCACTGTTTTTCGCCCGGCGGAACAAATTTCGCGCAAAAACGGCTTCCATTTTTCGAGAAACGGACCCCGAACCGGGGACCAAGCCACCCGGACACAAGCAAATCAAGCTCTGCGGCTCCACGGCGAAACCTTTGCGCAACATCTCCCTTTCTTCCCCCTCTCATCCAAAACTGAGACAGACCCAAAATAAAAAGGTGCTGCATCGACTTACAGCGGATGCGCTAAAAGACCACATCTGTGAGCTTGATTGTTTTCGATCAAGAACATTATGACAGCAAATGCTTTCCCCCACAATTCTGAAATCACACTCGTTTTCCAAACTTTTTGCTTCTTCAAGGAATGAAAAAGATGATTTTTGTGGACACCAGTTCAGTCCAAAAACCCAGCAAAACCGGTCTCGCACATGCCTGAAAACCAGGTGCTTGCTGTTGCTGGAGCTTGTGTGTTCCAGAACACGTTGTAGGCACACAATTCGATTAAATGGCCTTGAAATCTTGGCAACTCGTCTTTTTGCACGCAAGAGGCAGTTTCTGCGGATGGTGCGCTGTTTGTTGCCTGCTCGGTCTCAAAAGCGATGTTTTGGAAAGTTGCCTCGCTCCGGGTTTCCCTTAGGATTGAATGGTGATCTTGCATGAAATGAACGGGTTCCGTCTCCACGCCCTCTCGGGTTGCATGGTTGTCGCTGTGCTTCCTGGTAGATTCGGCAGCTTGCGTCAAGGTGCAATCAGCCTCAGCTGAGAGCAATCTTTAGTTTGTAGTGGACGTCAGACACCAGATGCTGATGGGGTGTGCTCCCTACTTAGGACACAATGAAGATGCACACCCCCGCGAGCGAGGGAGGGCCAACACAAGAAGAAGAAGAAGAAGAAGAGGAGGTGGGCCAAGAAGACGAGAAAGCCGAAGAGGAGAAAGAGAATGAAGAAGAAGAATTAACTGATGATGCTGAAGATGCAGAGGCAGCTGAAGTGCTGAAGGTATTCGAAAGTGATGAGAATGACGCCGAGAATCCAACTTGGGAAGGGGAGGGCGAGGCCCACGGCCCATTCATTCCCCCTCCACCCAGTCGACCTCAAGTATCGACACAGGAGCAGAAGAGCTCCCAGAGCGAAAGTCTTGGCAGGCCCGCCTAGCAAGGAGTGGGGTCAAGAGGCCAGCTCCCCCCACCCACCACACTGAGGTGCGCGACAGCCCATCCTCTCACCATGACCAAACTGAAGGCGGCTACCCCAGTGCCCGTCCTTCTAATGCCTCTGCTTCTCCCCCAAACTGCATCACCTGCCTG